CGAATGATTTAAATTTCATAGCCTAGTATATCCTAACGCATTATGTCAGTTTATGTTGTACTATATTTAATAGCTTATTTTTTAAATTCACAAAGATATAATGGTAACCCTAGACGCACGTATCATCACAGAACAATATACTCTATGAATGCAGCATTCCTTTCTCCGGATCGCTAATTTCTCTTCATTAATAAAATAGCTTAGCGCTGTGTGACGCATCACACCATGTACGATGTGTTCACTGCATACACACAAACAATATATTCCGTCCTACCACAAATATCAAACATAAATGGAACACAAAATTGATTACGCCATGACCAATCGTAAAAAATATGTCGTTTATAATAGATTTCTATGCCAATATTTCTTTGATTGACTCAATTGGAAATTATCATCAGAAATCTGCCACCAACATTTGGGGATTTTACATAGACATTTTAAAAACCCTATAAACATATACTTTTACACATACACACACCACGTATATACAAAAAAAATCCGGTTATATCTAATCGGAACATAATACTAAATCATCGAAAAATGTTTAAGTTTTGCATAACATTTACTGTTTGTTTTGTGTACTAGTTTTTGGAAATTGTAATAATCTCCTCCACAGGCCAGTCATTGGCCAGTTTTTACTTTTTCCTTTTGGCTTTTAATATCAAATGTATGGATTAATTATTATATCATCTTTGTTTAATTTCATATTTATTTCGTAATAAAAACTACACTGAGTCGTTATCATATCATATCCATATAAAGTAACGTAAGAAAGCCGTCGGACAGCTGACACGCGCTCGCTGCATTAATCTCGGTGAGTTGTCCAGAGTTTTTATGGAAGTCTGCAGTTACAGACTGCAAGCCTTAAAATGTATGGCAATGGACTATTCTTTTACTCTCGTATTTGTCTTTTACCGTATTCATTAATATTTTTGCTAGCTATGAGACATTATCACGGATTCCGCCTTCATGCTTTGAATTGAAATATAAATGGAGACCAAATTATACGAATGGCTCCTTTGGGGAACGGGGAGTATGAACTAATATAGTATATCTGGGAGGATTAGTGCGATAGAAGTACACTATATCAACATATAGTGTACTTCTATAACTGATAAAAATTAAATATTAAAAAAAAGTTCAAATACTAAAACCCCGACTACAGTTACATCACGCACTAAAAAGTATAAAACAAGATATTTATTTTATAATGATAGCTATATTATAATAGCGATGACCAAAAGACAGCGTAGTCGTATGCCACTGATCTTAATAAAAAAAACTGTTGTGATAAAACTATCCTACATTCCCAAGGTCCGCTCTATCTGTGTACCAAATTTTAAAGTTACTTCAGTAGATGAGCCGTGACAACGTACCAGACACACGCAGAGACTATTAGGTACCCTTTAGTAGAGATTAACTTTTCTTCACAGGTACTTACTTTGTAAACTTGACGATTATCGATCCGATAGTCTTTATAAAATGTAATTATTATATTCTTAGACCAAGTTTTTTTATAGGAAGTGTGCGTAAATATCTAAATAAGTAATTGGAATTCATATTCTATCCTGTAAGTTCTATCCTGTAAGAAAAAAAATGGGTCACCAAATTAATTATGGTCACGCTAATCGCCACTACCTGTGTAGCCCGCAGTGTCCACCAATTTATCGCCGGACATGAGGCGACGTCACTTGCGTAATAATAAAGACAGTTTATATGTTCTACAACCTACCGATACTCACTACATAAAACATAGTGTCTCACCTTATCCAAAACGATATTGCATGCTAGTACATAAATATGATATACCTATTACTAGTTTAAATATTAAATGTAAACAAACTAAAAGGTTGAGATTTCTCGAAAAGGGAAAGCCATTATGTCATGCGTGGCGTGACTGCATGGGCGTCAAATCATGAGGTGGGTATACACACGGCTGCATGTCAGGCTGCTACAATATGTCATATTTCTGTAATGGATTTTGAGCAATACCTCAAATACATAAGGTTTAAAATCGAGTTGGGAAATTTGTCAGTTTTGTATAGTACGACGTGCATTTGACTGTACTTAACAATGCTGAATTAGTGGGATGTTGAATGTTTTAAAAGAAAGTCTTTGAGAATTATTACTCATTATTATAAAAATTACAAATTGAATAAAGTTTAATAATGGGTCTATTTTTAAGAGCTTACATTTAAATTAATAAAAATTAAAGTCATCTATCAACTGATGGATGACATCATGTCATCATAATACAGCTGCCACTAGACAAGTAAGCAATTAGGTACAATTCTATAAATATCCCTGTATGCATGTGACACAAATTTTAGATTTTTCAAACAATTCAAGTTTTCATGTCAGTATTTGCATTTCATGTGTACTTGTATAAACAAGTCAAGTCGGTAATTTTCAGATACTTAGGCGCTTGCATACTCAAAAATGTAACTACCCTGTTACGAGGGCCCCCTGGTTACTGAGACCATTAACATATGTAAGAAAAATTTTTATTCTCCATTTGGACTTCCCAACTATTTTTAATAGTTCTTTATTCTCAATTCAATTTGTATAAAAAACTACCTATTTGGATATTTAAATTAAATAATAGAAGACATGTATAAGGGTTGTATCATGTGGCTCTCAGTTTTTTCTGCCACTGGTTGGGATCACGCCAGAAATGAGAGTTTCATTGTTAGGGTTTTAAAATTAAGAAGTTAATGTGGAATGACCAATTCATGAACCTGTAAACATATAGAAAACTTACTCTTTACTCAAAAATTGAAAAAGGGTTTATTAAATTAAGTTCGCATCTTATTTTTTCTTACAGGGCAAAGGAAGGCATCTTAATAATGCTTAGCTAAAATCACAAAAATCAAAAAGATGATTAAGAATCACAATGACGAGATTCAAAAGAAAAGATCTTTTAGATTCATAGATATTAAAAGCAGGTCAGTTGATTCTTAATTTTTCTTACATTAATGAGGAGGGGGTCTAAGCGGGCAAAAAACATTTTATATAATAAATCAATAACACCACATAGTATAAGAATTCAACATGGTCATCAAAAGTTGAAATTTGACACACACCTTCACAAATACCAGAAGTAAAGTGGATAAACGAGTTTCTAAGAGGAATTTGATCTGAAAGGTATGCAATCACTACATTATGAAATATCTAACTTAGATACAATTGGTGCATGACAGCTGGTTATTTATGACATCATCCTTTTGCTCAAAGCATGAAACAAAAACAAGAAGAAATAACCAAATAAGTTGCAGATATATTGTAGATGAATGTTTTTAGAGGTTTGATGCTTTGCGCTTTGATAACCATATTTTACACAATCTTCTAAATATCAGTCAGTTCAGACTATTAGAAAAAAAATGGCAAACTCAACAGTTATGCTGTTAGTTCTAAGTAAAAGTTTTGTACACAATATAAAAATCTTATAATATAGGTAGTTACACTATCATATTAAAAGCTAATGTATTTACTTCGACAGGACAAACAAATAATAAATAAACATTCATAGCATATGTGCTTGGCTGATTTTAAGTTTTTTATTACAAATACAAAAAGAAAAAAACTTTTATTTTCCATAAATATGGTGTGCGACTTTTGACATTATTATAAAGTTCCACGGTTAAATAAATAGTTGAGTAAAATAAAAAGGGTTTAAATTTCAAATATTGTCAATTTGGATCATATTTCCATAGAATTTAAAGTTTAAATCAGACTACTACTTATAAGATAAAAAATCTAAGAAGAATTTTGGATTATCTAGCTATAATTTATAGTTGCTTGATGCCAAATTTATCAGAACAGTGTACACATTGGGGAGATTAGATAAAGCACTCGTAAGAGTGAGCAGGTGCTTGTTACACCAACAACTATTTTTGGTTCACAAAAACATTTATAAGTGTCTTGCTTGGTTGAACTTAACATTCAAGGTCTTTCTAAGATGTCATTTATAACAAGTTAACTCACCTACAAAACTTGACTCCATTTCGGCCTGCTATTCCTTATTTACTTTGGAACTATCAGTTGTTATCCGATCAAATTGATATGAGTGTCAAAAAGTTTTTCTCACACATGACACAAGTAAGTTACACCGCCACTCCCAAGCACAAACTTGTATAAACTAACTTTTCAAAATATTAAAACCAATGAAACCTGAACCCCACAATAGAAGTAAATATGATATAACACGACTTCGTGCACACTTTTCGTTGTTTTTTACTCAGAACACTCACAGAAATTCCAAATAGAATATTAGTAACAAGATAAACAGAACAGAGGCATTTTTCAACTTCACTCACTCACACACACAACAAAATATTTACTATGCCACAGACCAAATAAAAGAGGTAAACGAATAGAGTAGTATGTATCTCACTAAATGAGTACAGTGAAACAAAATGACATTTAAGGTCGTAATAGTGATGTCTCGATGTACGCAATCGAGTTAAAGGCAACCGATAATCAAAATTAAAATCTACGAGAAATATTAGGGAAATAGTTTAGACATTTATTTTGTCATTTAGCCGATAATATGAAGCTTTCATATCGATATTAATCAAATACCTTAATATTGAAAATTTCATTAATAACTATAAAAAAAAAACCCTGGTTGGCTGTATCATTGATACAGCCATATTTTATGCGTGGATACGTCTATGTATGAATGGATATATGAGTAATTGATAAAAAAATAAATAAACAAATTGAAGACACTAAACACTAAATAAATAAATATTCGTTGCGTTCATTTGTTGAATGAAAAAAGTATTCACTAGCGCCAACAGATGGCGTTAGTGCATATACTCCTGCTGACAGAATGCCCCTCCCCCTGCAGAGCAAGCATAGTTCACTTATACGCCAATAGATGGCGTTAGTGCATATACTCCTGCTCACAGAATGACCCCCCTGTAGAACGAAAACATAGACGTATCCACGTCAAAAGTTTTACTATGCTCATAATTTCATTAAATTATACTTACATTTACTGTGATTAACATGCCTCTCGTACGGAGCAAATTTGTGAGCGGGTATATCTCCTAGTTCCACGACCCACGTGACTTTTCGTTGTGCCAGCAACGGTGATTGTGATGCCATCTCATGGAATTCTCATGAAATCGCTTTAAAATACACCACAACTTGGAATGAAATTGAATCGATATGACTTATTCAAGTTTTATACTGATTTCACTACATATTTATCAGTATTAAGGTTCATTCTTTATCTTCTATGTACATTCAAAATAATCAATTTTTAATGTGGATTATAATAAATTGATATCCACTTCAGATTTGCGAAATGATTAGTAAGTAATAATTTGCCTGAATGTAAATTACCTTCTTTGTTTTGTTTAATATCATGCAGTAATTTTAATAACGTATGCATTTGGTGTTTTTTTGGAAATTGAACTTCTACTTTGAAACATCCGTCATTATTGTTCTTTAAACATAATTAAATCTGATTTATACATATATTTTTTTAAATCGGTGACATAGGTCTGCTACTATTTTGGATTCTATATGGATGATTTTTTTTTAATATCAGTCAAGATTCATTATTTTTGAAGAACAATAATGACGGATGTATAATATCGGAAGTTGAATTTCCGAAGAAACACCCAATTATAATCAGAGTACAAATTTTTATATTGTATTTATTTATTATCTATCTAAATCATATTTATTTAATTTTTTCAAGCGTAGTGTACTCGGAGACCGACTGTTGACAATATAGGTACTAATTATTTATTTACTTTACTTTCAATACAAACAAGAAGATACTAGTTAATAAATATTTAAAATATGTTTTCAGAAAATATATTCTTATTAAGTATGTTCTATAGTATTCAGTAGGTATACATACTATAAGTAGAGTCCTAACACGGAAGAAGTCCCTTTGATCTCGATGTTTTTAATGCAAAAGCAATAAGAGTTACGCCAAGGGAATTCATGTGAAACGGTTCTATTTATAATAATAGGGGTTAAAGTATGAAATTTCCGTTTTGTACTGAAAATCAAAATTGTTTATTTTTCTGCATTACTACATATTTTTCTAGACTGCACAAACTATGTGAAAGCATTTTGTACTGCCTCCTAGGAAGAAAACTTCTTGTCGCGTACATAATTGTCTAAATCACGAAAAAAATGGTAGTCCGTTGAAGCAAGGTCTGGCGAATACGGAGGATGACGAATAGTTTCTAACTGCGTTCCTGAAGGGTCAAAACAGTTTCTTGTGCTGTATGAGGTCTCGCGTTGTCATGAAACAATAATGGTGAAGATCGATTCATGAGTCGTGGCTGTTTTACTGCTAGTTTTGCCAACATTGTTCGGAGGTCGACACAATAGACATCTGCCGTTATTGCTTGACCAGATCGGAGAAAACCATAGTGATTAAAACTATACTGAGACTACCAAACAGTTACCATTACCTTTTTATTGGTAAATTTTGCTTTAGAACACTTGTGCGTTTGACCTGGGGTCGGCCATTGCATTTTTCTTTTACGGTTATCATAAAGAATCCACTTTTCATCACATGTCACAATTCGATCCAATATTTCTTCATTTCTGTACCGATTCAACAAGGCAACACAAGTTTCAACACGCGTTTTTTTTCTCAGATCAGTCAAATCGTGAGGCACCGATTTTCGTATTTTTTTATTTTATTGATTTGACGCAAATGAGTCAATATCGTGGGTAAGGTAACGTTAAACCATGCCGCTAATTCCTGAGTAGTTTGATTAGGATCGGCTTCCACTATTTCGTTTAATTCATCGTTATTTACATGTGCGGGTCGTTCTTCAAGTCGAAGTTTCCATCACGAAAGCGTTTAAACCAAAATCGCACGGTGCATTTATAAGAAGACCCCCCCAAACGCAACATTGACATTACGGGCTGTTTCTGCCGCGTTACTTCCGCGTCGAAACTCGTATCAAAAATCACTCGAATTTTCGCAGTACCATCTTTCTTGTCTACGTTGAATAAAAAAATCAATTGAAAGTCGATATTCAAATGTTTCACATTTTTGAAAAGAAAAACGTCATAGAAACGATGTGAAAAAAGTTTCTTTCGAAAACCACAAACCATGAAGATTCTATATCAATTCAAGGAACCTATTACAATAAAACGACAATTTCATATTTTAACCCCTAATACTTATGTATTCTATCATATGTTAGTATTAGTAGTTTAGAAAGAAAGAAAATACATATTGGCCTCATAACTTCAGTTGTAGCATAATACAAGTGAGTTAAAGTTTACGTATTACCGTAAACTTTAACTCATAAAATTCATAGTCAGTTAATGTCATTAGGCATTCTCTACCAGTCAACCGGAGAACTTTATATCAAAGAGTTATAGAAGGAGGTGCTGCTTAAAGAATTATTTTACAAATTGATACTTAAATTGACCTACATAGACGTTCTCCTAGATTTGGACTACATGAACTGATCGACTGAAGTGCTGCCCATTTTTTATTTTATAGTTAGTTTCTAGTAATGAGATCCTGTAGTAGTCTTATACCTTACATTACTTCAAAAAACGACGTTAAAATAATTAACATTAATTGATAAAAAAAAACGAAGAACGTCCTACGGATTACCATAACCGTTACCTAGATAAGTTTTAGTAATTAATTAGCTTTAATTTAATTTTAAGCCGTTCAGTTTTGTTTAGTCACAACTTAAGTAAGTACTTAAAAAATAGTTTTAAATTATTTTGGCACATTGATAAGTCAAGTATCATCTGTGCCATGTAAACAAATTACATGATCACTAACTTTTTAATGACGAGTTTAGTTAATTATTCAAATATTTTCAATAGACCCTTACTTTCACTTATCGCAGTTTACCTACAAGTTAAGTTCGCTTTGTTGGTTATTTTTAGGTATGTAGTTCACCTTGACAACTGGCTTTGAATTTTAAACTTGCGATAGCAACCTAGCGTCGCTGTGCATCCCACTTGCATACACTCACATGATGGCCTCGGGCAGGGCCCGATTTATCTATTTAGTCGCTCAGGGCTAAAATAATATTCCCCGCCCTAAAATACTGATAAAACACCTATCACCATTTTAAGTCATGAACTAACTATTAATATTATACGTATATTTACGTCATGTGGTGTACACCTGAAATAATTTTGGTTAGGTATGTTAAAAAAATCTTGTTACAACCCCATATAAACGTTATTGACTGTCGCAGCTTTTAATTCATGACTGTATGCACAAAATATAGTTTAAATACATGCTTATTTTAATGTACTATAGTTTTATCAGACGTATACAGAGACTTTATGAGCTGTAAAAATCGATGTGGATAAAAGAGCAACATCCATTTTCACTATAAAAACAATACCTAGAACAAGGCATAAGCTTAGCTAGGAAATTACGAATCGCCTAAACAGATTTGTTTAATTCCAAATAAATATTATTTTCTTTTATCCCTTGACATAGTCATGACCTGTCAACTACGCAAATGCCTAGCGTACGGCGCCGCATAACGAAGACATTGCTTAGTTTTGTTAGATGGTTTCTATTCCAATGGTGTAATGCATTTTTACCTTCGGAGGCGATTCCTAAATATTTAGGCGACAGATTTGGGCGAGAGTCGTCACCACTTTATCAAAGTTTTCAAATATTATAAATTGGGAAAATGTGATACAAATCATTATACTCTCGTACAATCGGGGTCGCTTCAGTAATTTGCGCGCATCTCAATTCAACGGTCATTAACTCTTGCGCAGATGGCTTACTACAACACGCATCGGCGTTGGATACGCGAAGACGCTACCAATAAATTCTTTCAAGTAACAAGAGTAATAGTAACGTATGCTACATTACAGCGTAACAATTTTATTGTTTTTAATTGAATTTGAAATTATGTTGTATATTACATGTAATAATGAGTCATTATAGATTACATGATAACTATTGTTTTATCGAATTAAACACTTTATAGCATTAAATGTAATCAACAATCAACGAATTCAATACTAATATTAAAAATGTACAGTTTGTATTATTGCGTATTAACAATTAATTAAAACAAATCATATCCTAAATTATATACCATATGTAAGTTATCTGCCTATACTTATAATTAGGTATTGCATTAAATCAATAATTTAAAAAATTACAAAGTGTAGCTGAAATGGTGCAGATAAACTTACTGTAGCAAATAAGAACATGGAATTAGAACATAAAATCGATTTGAATAAAAACTCTGATCTACTCGAATACTCAGAATTGAGCGTAAGTCTAAGATTATCTGACATTTGAGTTTATTTTAGTACTTGGACTTCAGAGATACTCGATGTAATATCCAACGAAGGTGGCAATACGAGCAAATATTACTACTCTGGCCGATTGTGGTTCTTTCACTAAAATATAAAAATATAATTAAAAAAAATGATGCGTTACAGAAAATGAATATGTAATATAGTAACATTATGTGGATTCACTGACGCTATTGTGTGGATTCACTCACACTAATATTATAAAGCTGAAGAGTTTTTTAGGCTGAATGCGCTAATCTCAGGGACTACTTAGGTTATTGAGGAAGGCTATTATCAAATGATGTTATAGATATATAGAGAAAGCAGGCCTTCCTTCTTTATATATCTATAACATCACACTATGACTACTTAATAAAAGTAGAGCAGCAATAAAAAATGTCGCAAAAACAGGAAAGTATTTTTGGGAGCTTTCCTTGCGTGCTTTATTTGAACGATGAAAGTTATCCAAAGAATCATCTATAAAGAAGTTATTCCGTTTTAAAAGTTCTAAAAAAAAGTGAGCGACAATATTACTTATAAAAATCAATTAATCAACGTCTTAGCATCTGATTAACTAATCACTGCTTGACTTCTTAAGTAGTCATTAAATATTTCTTACTTATAAACTCTACTTAAGCATTTGTTATATAATCAACGGTAAATTTAATTGCTGTATATGTCTATATTTTAAGGTTGTCTCACCATAACCTTTTTTATGTCAATTAAATTAATTCTAAATAGAAGAAGCGGGCGAAGTCGATGACGGAAGCTAGTATATTTAATATAGCCTGACACAGTAAATCATTGCATGCAAGCCTATACCACCTTACATCTTGTTGCAACATCTGAGTATCACTCTCGTATTACTTTACTTTTCTAAAGTAAAATCATTCGCTCAAATCGGAACAAGTAACGTATTATATTTAACATTATATCGACTGTTTTATATTTAATATTAAAAGAATTTATCAAACCTAAATTAACTCGATTAAAAATGTGTAAGTACAAATAGTTCCTATCATTATAACAAGCCTATCAAAAGTCCACACTTTCCCTACAAATGAAGTAAAATAGGACGAAGTTTTAAAGTTCCTTTGCATTCCACCGTGTATTTTTTTTTTTCAAAATTTTTATAAATACAGCTCAAAGAAGGAAGGTTTATTAAATTGTGCAGAGATATAAAAGTACCTAAACATATTAAATTAATGAAAGGCATTTTTCAGTAGCTATAGCTTGTGTTTGCATTATGCAATTTTCAATCAATTTGAATTGAGCTTCCAATTTATTTTAATTGTTAAACACTTAGTTACAGGGTATATTTATAATATAAAGTGATGTAACTTTTAGGTACTTTATTTAAGAGATAGACTGAATAATATTAATTTTAATATTAATATATAATTCATGACATGTGTACATAAACTGATATAGCTATCCAGTACATATTTTGTATTTTAAGGAATTTAGATACGAAGACAAGAAGCCATCAAATACGTTTTTAGAGTTCTGCACCTCAAAAGAAAATAGCAGATCCGTTATAAGACTGATTGATTACTGATTAGTTATCTGATTGATTCTGATTGATTGATCCGTCTGTCATAGGTGATCTTCGCTAAAACTACTAGATCGTTAAAATTGAAATGGAAAATTGAAGTACCGAAAGCGGACATGCAACCTACTTAATAAGTGAAATTTAAACATGGAGACCTCTTCTTGGGGGATAAATTGCAAGAAATATATATTAATAAATTAAACAAACGTTTGACAAACTCTTTTAAGTGACCAGTGGCATATCAAATAAAAGGGCTGGCTCTGTCTTCTGTCCCATAAAGTTAATTTTACTTAATTAGTAACATGATTCGTGACTTTATCAGTGTTAATTATATATTGATTAATAACATTGCATCACTTTGTTCTCTGTCGACTTTCTAGATGACTAGTAGAGAATACCTGAGGCATTAAATCCGTCTGTACAGTTTTATCTGCGCAATTAAGCCGAAATAAATAATTCCCAAGAAAACATAAGATGTTTAAGGTTTTTCAAATTTAATATTTGTACCGAACCCTCAGTGTGTGAATCCGAATTGCTCTTGGTCGGTTTTTTATTATATTTAGTTATTTGCTTAAGTAACGCATTTAATAAAAGGTATTTTTTATTCATTAAATTAAATAATAAATGTATCAAACTTATGTAAGTATGAATAAGATATTACACTAATTACGTGAAACAAAAATAAAGCAAATATTGATAAGATACCAATCTATATTTTATATCTAAGTAGGTAGATAGGTTTGTGTAGACTTTGGAAAATAGGTAATCAAATTAATATGTTAACAAAGCTGAGCCTTGTCAACCATTGACATAATATTGAAGACATTTAGAATAAAACAATCAATGTTCTAATTAAGTTAGATACTGTTATTTTTCGTAATATCACTGGCACAGTGCACTTTGTATCTATTGATAATTACACGATTCACTTTCAATAATTCATAGGCAAAGATCATAAATTTAATTAAGGAAATAATTAATACCTATTGTCTGATAATGAAATTACGAGCCATAAATATCGCAAATAGGACAGAACGCATCGAGAAGACCGGCGAAAGCGTAAACGCGTCTCTACGCTCTACTCCGCGATAGACAACTGTCCGAATTGGCGGGAACCATATCATTGTTTCACTACGATGCGTTTTCTACGCGTCGGTTGTTGTTCCATCTTTTCTTTTACTACAAAGTAAATAAATAGGACAACTTTAATATTATATTGGACATATCATTGATATCATTTACTTTTTTCTTGCACATCTACTTTTTTGAAAGATAATAATTTAGTGAAAGAATGAGTATGTTCCAGGGACAGGCATGAAAGTATTGTTACATTTATTTTCTAAGACATTATGTAAAGATTTTTCTTCGTGGAACTTGCGACTATGCGTACCTACAAAGATATTTAATTCAGACGTAGTAGTTGAATTTACTAAATTAATCTACGATTATCCGTCGGTGGCATTTATCTGTTCAATTATATCTATGCTAATATTATGAAGAGAAATGATTTGATTGTCTGTTTGTTTGCATCGAATAGGCTCCGAACCTACTAGACTGATTTTAAAAATTCTTTCACTTACGGTTCATCGTACGGGGGCGGGGGCTTCCATAGGTTATAATTTACGCGTGCCAAGTCGCGGAATAACAGCTTGTTTACTTAAAAAGAAACTTAAAATAAATAGACACTACACAACATCACTTACGACCTTCGAGGCCAAAGGGCTTACACGCTGGTTTCAAGATGTCGCCATCTTTGAGGTCACTGATTCAGTACCCGTCAGATCTTCTATATTGTATCGGGTCTGGATGTTGCAGTACCTACCTTAATTATTTCAGATTCCCATAATGCCAGTACTATAAGCCACTTAAATAAAGTGGACCTACAGGACGATTCTGTAGAAATCCGAACTCATGTGTCCCAATTCACGTCATATAGTGAAGAAATTCCATTTTTGTATAAAAATACAAAACAAAATTTATTAATTATACGTGTCTCAGATAGTTATTTCGCAATGCACTACAAATATGCAACGAAACTTTATTACCAATTCAAGATTGAGCGGATGCCGCTTTGAAATGAATCTGAGTGAATTCGAATTCGGGTTTGGATTTTTCCAGAATCGCAGGGTATTTTATCTCAACTAAAATTTTTCAAGCAAGGCAAATACCACAGTCTTACAGGTGCTACATTAGGTAGCACGATTACCTATGTATGTTCACAGAGATACCAATACCCAAAACGATTACAAATTAAATACCTACCAATTTAAAATGTTAATAGTTGGTACGACGTAATTATTAATATGATAATATTTGAAAACTATTATGAACATTATAATATTTTAATAACAACGCTACTTTATACCCGTAAGTGAGTTACCCAAAAAGCAACTAGCTGATCATTATCAGTTAAGGAGATAATGTTAATCTTCCGCCGCCGCGCCCGCCAACCTAGCGTGTTGATAGGAAAAATTAAAAAATATGAAAAAGTACACCGAATGTAAGTATGCGTACACATTCACTTTTAGAAGTATCAACCATCAACACATTGTTGATATGAGTTGTTCATCACATCTCTGGTAGTTAGCTTTATACCGCCTTAAACTCACTGATATAGCTCTTAAATGTATGTGAATAAACGTTATAGTACTTTATATTTGTCAAATAAAATCATATATGAAAATGAAACAAATAATCGATTGTTTGCTAAAAACAAAAAGATCAATTTCAATAATTGACACGATAGGAAAAAATCGCAAAGATGACTAAATAGGTTTTGTGGATAGATTCTACTATTAAAAACTATATAAAAATATATACAAAAGTAGATTTATATAAAAATATATACAAAAGTAGATTTTGATATATTCTTTTGACCACAATTTTTTTATAACTGCATTTTTTTATTTTTTTTTACTATATGAAATCAAGCGAGCGAGTCTTCACTCTCGATGCGTATTTGTATACGTTTTGATTTTGGGTCTTATTTTTCAATATTTTTAGGGTTGAACTAAATTTAGAATAAATATATTTAAGAGGTGCTCCTATACAACAAACATGATATAACCCTTAGAATACTTGTTTATTTGGTTATGCATAGAATTAATTTATTTACGTTCTTCATTTCTTTTTAATGGGCGTCTCTGCAACTGCGTCACAATAGCGCCCATTTTGCGTGCGAATTTATTTACGTTACCTGCAAATTTGTATTTAAGACTTACATATGTGTACTATAAATCTCGTTTGCGGATAAAATAAGATGTGTGACAAATGGCCAGACAAACATACGAGTGATCCGAATTCCTTTTGAGGCGAGGTACCCCATGATTATTATATACAGCAGCACATGCTGCAGCAAAATATTTGAATCGCACATCGATTCATCCATTCAGGAGCTACAGTGCCACAGACAGACAGACAGACACGAACACATAGATCAATCTTATAGGTATGTAAAACCTCACTTTTGTGTCGGGGTTAATAAAAGATTCCTTTTGCGTTGATGCGTTTAAAAAAACGATAAATTTTCTATGAACATTGGCGAAGAATCAGCTTTGCCATAATGGCAATAGAAATTAACAACTTTTAATTTTACTGCCCTCAAAATGTATATATATATAATAGAGTTTTTGTTCGTAAAAATAGTGTTCTTTTACAAGACAAAGTGAACTTGAAAGTGAAAAACATTAATTCAATGTTAAGGATAATTCCTTTCATATTTTGCAAAACAGATGGTGCAAAAACTTCAAAAAATATAAGGATGACGATTAGATTTAGGTGTAACACTTTTATATAGGAATAGTTTGTTTTGTCCGTAATGTTGCGATCAATAAAAAAATGTGAAAATGCACGTAGTTTACATTTTGGCATGTAATTACAGTATAAGATTTACAAGAAACCACCTATTAAGAAATCATAAATCTAAAGATTCTATTAAAACCCAGTTCAACAAGGGACCCAGAAATATCACGAAGTCGATAATTTCTAATCTTATATGTTGTTCAAAAAATATTTATAGATTGAATACAAAATGGGGAATTTAGATTTTTTTACAATACCTTGTTAGGAAAAGACATCATGATATACCGACCTCTTTAAATGAGAAAGGTCTCTTTATATCTCTGTAAGCTAGAAATTCGGGTTACTGAGAAACCTCTACAAGCTAAAAAAATATCATGGCCCCTTGAACTCTCTTTTACCCAGGTTCGCCTGTATTAAAATATATGCATTTTAACGACATCAATATTTAGTTATGTTTGTTTTGCTAATTTTACTCCAAATTAGATTTATAAATATTATAGGAAAATAGGAACAAGTTTACTAGTAGAAAATTGATTTCATTGATTTATACAACAGTAGTGATGTCGCATGAATATTTTGTAAATACTTTTCTAATCATAATAGCGCCATCTCGTGTAAAGTAGAACAACATTAACATCAATGTTTAGGAGCCTACTTTATAGTACTTCTGACAAGAAAAAACATTGATCCAATAGATGGCTCTATTAACTTTTATTTTACTATTCGAATAATTATTATTCTGAAATATTGACCACTATATGTCGTTGTACCCTCAGACCAAATTTGGTCTGAGGTTGTACCTAGGTAATTATCAATCAATCCTTAGTATTTAGTATCAAAAGTATTTTTTTATAATTTTCGAACATCAATATCTGTCCAGCCCTGAGTTTAATGAGAAAAACGATGGATTTTACCACTTCTTTCCTTAAATTCAATTTGAAATTAATGATTTTGATTACATGAAGATTTTACATAAATTCATATAATATAAATACAAAGTTATCTACGTGCATACCTCTTAGCACAATCCCTTGTATAAAACTCTTCCTAAAATCCCATTTATGGCCTTGAGTCTTCTGTACAAAAAAAATAATAAGACATTTAAGTAAGTATTATATCTAGGTACCTATCTACTTGTTCACTTCTCTTGCTCAAAAAGTCCGCCATCGAAGCTATGATGCTAAAATAGTATTTTATCTTTTAAGACAGTGTTTCCCAAACATTGTTCTGCCATGGCCCATTAATTTTCACCCTACTTCTTCGTAACCCACTTAATATTTTTATACCCACGGCCCTAATAAAACCCATTGTTACGGGACTAAGCTACAAGATAAGTGAATAGAAACAAATAATTTTAGCCCCGTGATAACAATCTACTATTATTTGTAAATATTGAAGGTCTTAAATTTTCATCATCAAGAATCACAAAACCATTTATGTTTCTCTCAATTAAAATGGAAAACCCAATAAGTTCAATAAGTAAAAATATTTAAAAATAAAAGATATTAGCAACCGGAAGCGCAGCGGAGGGTTTTCTTTGGCGGTCGCTGCAGCGAGGTCGCACTCAGGGCTACCACAATTAAGTTTAAAACTTTAAAGTTGTATTAATGAGATGCCTACAATAAACAAAAATTTAATGATTAATTCAAATTTTTTATTAAATTATATCATAATTAAATTGTGCCTTTGAGGTTTTCTTTTATTTAATTATTTTACTTGTTTAATGTTGAACCTGAATACGTTAAAATGTGGTTCACTCATGTACAGTCAACAGCATGTCAGGTTATATAAATCTTTTAAGCCGTAGTGTTTGATAAGTAGAGTTTAAAATCAACTGGAGAATTTGTCATATTGTGGTAACCTCACGTGTGTGTCTGCACAAAAAGCTACCAATTGCGGCAAATGTCGGGCAATCAAAACGATTCCAGAGTTACGCCAAAAAGCGATCCTCCTAAATCCACGCCCCTTCCCCTGCAAAATATTTTATGCCTTATTGTTATTAAAACAAGTCTCATTGACAATTTTAATCCTGCGTTCATTCATAATGGCAACGCACATAAGAATATTCACTATGCGCCATATTAGTTGGAACTTACTGTACACCTTGAAACTTACTGAACATTTTTTTCTTTTATTGGCTTTGTTAATATGACATCCCTATAGATATAACACACGCGCTGGCGAAATTGGGTGACGCGGGTCGAGCGCTTACTGCGGCCGCGACATCTCCGCCCTCACCGCCAGGCCCGTACACAGGGCACACGTCCTACGCCTATCTCCTTCACTGTTGCTTCATCAACAAATGCTTCATTTCCGTTATACATTTTATTATTAAGACTAACTGCAAATAGGACATTGTGTTTGCATTTTAAAATAGAAACTATATACTTTTTGGAGTATCCCAAATTATTAGCAATTATGTACACACGGCTGCATGTAAGTCTATACATTGTGGACGTGTAACCGTGCGTACCTGTCTTCCTGCCTAGTGCGGTCAAATATTTCCCTCAGAAAATTAATGTTTACGTTAATTATACTTATTAATATTAATAAAGCATGGCAAAAGAACAACTTAGAGAAATAAACTGAATGGAGAGACCGATATCAATGCTACCCTGTGTGTGACACGCGAAATGGAGCTGTTGTGTTTTGAAGTGAGTGAGCGTCGGCGGGGCGCGTGCCAGCCACCGCGGCACTCCGCCCGGTGATACCGTCCTGCTACCCGCCGTGCTTTCTGCTGCACCTTGTCGCTGAAAATAATAATCAGCGAACGTAAAATGCACCTTCCAAACCAGTCGTCATTCGCAGTCCTATTATCCCCATCGATTGAACACCTGCCCAAGTAAAGATGAACGGACGGAGGTCAGATGCATCTACTTCCACCGAGGACGATTTGAGGGTTTGTTTGTTATATTGATCGCAGTTTTGCTTTATATTACAATATGTGTATAAGTGATTCGATTGGTGGAGTTCTATAGTGATTTCATGTGATTTTTATGGTACAGGCGCGGCCCTTGTGTCTGTTTTACTTCACGCATCCTTTCGGTGTGCTGTCCCCGGAGCCTCCGACGTTGGCAGCGGCGCCTGCGCACATCGCACGAGCTTTTGTCAACATGGAACCGGTTTCTCCTATGCACTTTTGGGCGTCTTCCACCACAGACTCCTACGATACAGCTCCGACTTCGTCCTCGAAGCTCAGTTTCGACTTGGGCAACACTAAAGTGCATAAAAACCCTGTGAATCTAGTGAGTGTAACTAACACGAGGAAGTGTACGATAGAGTTGGGTGCGCGGACATCTCTGTCGTCGTCGCTGTTGTCCAGTGACATGTGGTTCAGTTCGAGTTCGGGATCGCGCGGCCCCGTGGCCGCCCGCCGTGTGGTACCGTATCACAGGATACTGCCACCGCTTCATTTGCCGGTCCCACAAGACTCCTCTCCCTCCTATAGTTCGGATGACGTTTGGCCGAAAAAATATTTGAACCCCGCCAAATTTTCCCTTCCTCCGATCGAAATGCCAGTGCAACCAAAAAGGATAAAATGCAAAAAAGTGAACAAACAGAGTGATGAGATATCGAGTGTAGACAATGTGAGTGTGAGAGAGGTGAGATCACGAAGACGTATGGGTATCAGTAAACACAAGCGGAGGAGGCGCACAGCACAGTTGAGCGACGTGCGCAGACTCGTCACGAGGCTCATTACCAGGGCCGTGAAAGGTATGCTAGATCTTTAATAAAAGATTAATAAAACATGACTGATTTTTAATATTGCCAAAAATTTTTGGGCTATCATATTGTCTTACGCGCTTGTTACCTATGCACTTCTACATAATCGTGGTATTAAGGCTTAAATAAGATCTATTACTTTGAAAATTTGTATGTTTTATTAGTTATTTATCATATACAGTAAATAGTCAAAGAGAGTATTACACGGTTGAAGCGCGATTTGTTGAAATCTACTTCGGTATGGATGACAATATCTTTTGTTTGTGCACATTTGTATAGATTAAAGCACAAGCTGAAGAGTTTGTTTGTTTGTTTGAACGCGCTAATCTCAGGAACTACTGGTTCGAATTGAAAAATTATTTTTGTGTTGAATAAACCATTTATCGAGGAAGGCTTTAGGCTATTTAACATCACGCTGCAACTATTAGGAGCGAAGAAATAATGGAGAATGTGGTGAAATTTATTCATCCTTGAGGGCTCCGTTGCGTGCGCTGCAAAAACGGTTCAAGATACCAAAAATATATGTATGAAAAACTATGCTATGATAACAGCAATCATTGTTTACTATTCTATTTGTAATTATACTGTGTCATGCTATGAATCGATATCCAAATAAACAGTTCCCTGGGAATCACGCGGGCGAAGCCGTGAGCGGAAAGCTAGTGGTTTGATAAATCTATGGTGTGATGTGTGATTATTTTAAAATGCTGTAGGACAAGTGGACAAGAAACTTAAATATTTTTACGATAGATTATACCGTCTGTATACCAAGTTCTAACGGAAAGAAATGTTATTTATAGATATGATTTTTTTTATGAAATGTTGAGTTGAGGAATAAAAATCAACACATATATTATACTCTTTGATATATACTTTACTCTTTGTTTGTATAGTATATTTTTAAAAACTACATAGGTCTTTTGCAAATATCATTTGGTATATTTCAAAGAACTTGATTAATGTGTCGTATTGAAGAAAACACAAATCTAAAAGTGAAGATAATTTGTCAATAATAGAAATGTTATACAATAGATTAATGGTAAAGGCAAACATAAATTAATAGCGCAGCGCAATGGGATATACATTGGAGAACTGTCCTGTCGTGTACAGTTGTTGCGGGCGCGTGCCCCTGCGGTATTCATGCATGTTTATAGCGGTGCTGGGTGTGCTCACAGCAGCTCTACTCATGTTCATATATTCTGACGCCGGTAATACTACCGCTAAGGGACTAGGCGTGCCCTATGCTGCCGTTAAGCCCATGGACTTCACTTGTTTCGTGTTCGGGGTGCTACTCTGCGCTGGTAACATCTTACTACTCATCGCAACCATTTATCTAAGCGAGGCACTCTGCGAGCTCTACGTTTGGTTTATGCTCGTCTATTTATTGGTATTCATCGTATGTGGCGTCGCCCTCGTGGTGACCATGGCGCTAGCTGATGCTGATAAGATATTGGTGTTTGTGTTGTTTTTAATAATAGTCGTTTATGTCTCAGTATCTTTATATTTCACTGTAGTAGTCGCAAACTTCAGGATGACAATACCGTGAGCGATATCATTACTTAATTGTGTAAGTGTCGTTAATCGGTAATTCTTTATTCGAATAAAACTCTGTATTAAAATAATTTTAGAATCACATTATTTATGTCACAACCTTCATTAAGTCACTCTTTGAGATCAACACTGTTTTAGAAATAGTTTCACGTTACATCGCCTTTTATCTTTATCAGAATTCTGACAGTTAATGCACTCATTCCGCCTCATCATCATCACTATCGACCTCGCCTTCGACGTTTTGGTCGACATCTATGTCGACGAGGGTCTCCTGCTTGATGCTATCCAACGAGGTACCGGCTAGAGTATCCGTCGCAAACGTGTTGCTACTACCACGAACATCGCGGATCACCTTAAGGATCTCCATTTTGGCGGTTAGCTTCTCGTCATCTGACATACGACGAAACGAGGGCACCAGAGACATGAGAAAGTGGCGGTCTTCGTCGATTTCTTCTAAGTTGGCGATGGAATTAGCTACTGTCTCGGGGTCGCGGGTGCTCAAGCGACGACGACGTATTTTGTTAGAGGCGGGTGTAGCCAGTATCTCCTCTTCACCTGTGTCCAGATGCGGTAGCAGGAAAGCCATATGTTTAAAATACACATACACCTTCTTTTTAATGTTTTGCCCCTCACGAATCTTCTTTTCCACTTCTAATTGACGTTTGAAGGTGTCCCTCAGATTCCTCCATTTCTTGATTAGATCTGTAACTGTATAAAAGGATACATTTTTATTTAGCTAACAACCAAAATGTAACAAAACAATGAATATCTACTTTCGATAATCTTTGTAGACTGAATGCCTATAAGTAAATCTGTACGGATACTATGGATGAAGGAAAGTGAAAGATACAATTCCCACAAGATATGGTCGTAGAATATCCGAAAAATATATTATGAGAGTAGCAGATAAGATTGAAATAGGATCTTACGTTTGGACTGCTTCTCAGCTTTGGAGTATATCTCCCAGTCGGGGATGACGGCTTTAGCTACTTCCGTCCATAACTTCATGCGGAAGTGCGGCGCGGCGCGTTCTGGACAATCGCGTACATACAACGCCGGCCACTTCTGTACCTCCATAATGATGTGAAGTGGATGCACATCCTCCAGAATCTTGTTACCTCTGCTTCTAGTAGGTTTTGATTGCATCTGGGAAGTTCAAATATAATGCAGTTTTTTCTACCTTGCTAGAGTTTTGGTATTGAATATTTGACTTGAATAAATAAATAAATACGCTTTTTGCGACAATCGGCAAATACAAGACAAATTTGATATATGTAGTGGAGTTTATTCACGACCTATAAGATATCTTAAGTTGTTTTAGGGAAAAGTATAAAGTTTTTAAAAAAAAATTGACCATCTGAAATTCTCGAGCGCGTCAGATTAAGGTTGGATGAGTTAGCTAAAATGTGTATATTTCACTAATCAGACAATTTCTGACAATAAAGAGGGAGGGCTACAAAGTTGTAAAAAAAGTAATCTCCATATTCTTGAGCGTGGCTATTTTTTTCATATTTATCTTAATTTAACGCGCTTAAATATTTCAAAATGACATTTTTTGCAGATTCTTATATTGGCCGTAAGTTTGTGTAAAATCCAAATCGCTGGATTATTATATAAGAACTTTTTTTAGGTTCACTTAACATCCCCTTAGAAAAACTGACGCGCTTGAGTAGTTTTTTTTATTTAATTTTTAACCGTTACGTACGACTACTCCTATCATGGATAAATAACATACGTACATTTTTAAAAATACGTAGGACAGATGAAAATAGTTGGATTAATGATATCAATATCTAACACACTTGGGTATATTATTGCAACAGTTTATTTACATTTTTGAAAACTGATAGCCGCTCATCCCACCTATGAAAGGGTATATATTATTATTATATGACATTTTTTTCGTTTTATGAACTAAGCTTCGTAACCACGTGGGTCTCTAATGCCCTATTTCAAAATTATTCTCGTAAATATATTTTCTTTTCATAGGCAGGTATGTAAAATATTGATAATTGCCTAACCTGCTACCTCTTTCATCTCGTTTTCATTTTTTATCTCGTTGGTTGTATTTTCAAATATATGAAATTTTTGAAAAGTAAAAATAATAAATGAAAAAAGCTGACACAACAAAAAGCTGTATATCTACGGATAGGTACCTGTCCGGCTAACGCGATATAGATTATCTAGTCAAACAGCTATCCATTTCATCTCTTAATGTGACAAACTTGACAAGCAAAGACGAGTATTATTTTTTTATTATTTAGATATAACCCTTTAGAAGAACAATGCTATAATAAATACACTTTATTTAATTGTATTTTGTTTGACCGTATTTGAGAACCGGCTATGTATTATAATCAAGCCTTTTTATTTATATCTTAAATACCTAATTACGTTGATTTGTCGATGATACTTTTTATTGTAAAAGTTAAATGTTTACCTCGTTTCGAGCAGGCACTATTATTATATGCTAGTAGAGCATGCATGAATGAACTGTTGTCTTGTCACAGCGAACAACTGCGTCGTGTCGCGTCGCACACGATAGCACCATACGATTAGAGTCGAACAAACCCGAACATGCACGAGCGTCAAAAGTTTCACGCTATGGGTACAAAGTAGTTATTTGACTGGTTTCACTTACAATTTATAGACACTATTCGTCAGAATCACAAACAATAATTCACTAATAATAGGCAAATTAAAAATCACATAAGACAACGAAGGGACCAAGAATATTGTGGAGGAAAAAATAGAAAATATACGAGGAAAACATCTAGAAACATGACGGTCACGGCCTGTCGCGACTGTCGACGAGCTATTGCGACTGGAGTTGGACGGAGTCACGGAGCAGCGAAGCAGACCGACACGGCGCGGTGCGAGGCTAGTGAGGGGCAGCAAACAATCGTTTTCAAATAGGCCTGTATATCGTCGAACTAGCATTTTTATCGATAGTATTATATTATATTATATTATATTATATTATATTATATTATATTATATTATATTATATTATATTATATTATATTATATTATATTATATTATATTATATTATATTATATTATATTATATTATATTATATTATATTATATTATATTATATTATAAATTGGTTTCACTCCTGTGTCTCTGGACTATTTAAGTCGGTTTTTCATTCCTAGCTCCCGCATGCTATTCAAAAAAATTGTATCCCCTTAAATTATTGCTTATTATTGTGGACAAGTGAATGACTACGTGATTTTGCATTATATGGATGTTGATGTTTGACTTATAGTATTAGTGAAGATTTTTTATTATGATTCCTATAACTATTTATATAACTTCTGCATTTGTTTTTCATGAACGTGTAATTTCTGTTTTGAAAAGAGTATTACTTAATTTTTCTATTTCTCTTGACCCCAATGTTGCATTCCGATGGTACTGTTATTTTATTCGAATATGTTTTATAATCTATCTCTAATTCTCTAACTTCTTTTATTATTTAATATTTTTTCCCTATTTCTATCGTGCTGCATTATAACCTTTATTAAATCGTCATCTTCTCTATCTAGATACTGTTTATATGTAAGCATTTGAGTTTTATACATATTATTATTATATTAGCATTATATTAGCATTTGAGTTTATTTAACCTCTACCCACCTCTATTATGTGTAAATATAGTCTTTCTATATTTGCTTTATGTCGCTGCGCTTTCTTAATTGCTAATAATTTCCTAGTTTTTATATCGATTGCTCTTAAAACATTATTTTTATAATCAATTATTCCAAATGAGTACATAAAAAATGGTACTGCGTATGTGTTTATCCCTTTTATTATATTGCGTGAATTTAAATGTGTGTTCAGTAACTTCTTCACCCTTTTCATACATTCTTTGGTTATTTGTTCCCTAATCAAACTATGTTCTATTTTCCCTGATTCGTGTTTACCTAAATATTTATATGTTTTATTTATTCCTAACTGTTCAAATGTATCTCCACTCAGTAGTAAATGTCCCACTCCTATTGCATTATTTCTATGTCCTGCTCTAATATGTATTGTGTTGCATTTGTGTAAACTGAAACTCATGCCAATATCGTTTGTAAAAATTTCGATGCTGTCTATTAAAACTTTTAAATTATTTCCATTGTTTGCATATACTTTTAAATCATCCATATCTTTAAGCTTGTACCCTTTTAGTTCATATATTTGTACAAAACAAATGAGAGCGGATTAATTGCTAAACAAAACAACAACGGTGACAGAGAATCTCCTTGGAATATGCCACATTTTATGTAAATCGGTTCAGTAGTTATTGATTCTTGGCTTCCGCGAGCTCTCATAATCACCTACCATGTAGGCATTGCAATTTTAATGAAAATCTTAATTTCAGGTGGACATTTCTAAATATCAAGGATTTTCAGAAGCCATTCGTGAGACACATTATCGAATGCCTTCTGATAATCGATCCAAGCCATACTCAGATTCTTTTGGGACAGATGTGAGTCCTCTAAAATTGCCTTATTGAACATAAGGTGGTCTTTGCCCCCCGAGCTCGGCGTCGGCATTTTCTTTGTTCTATCGCCATGATGTTGTTGTCTTGACAGTGATTTTAAAGTTGGTTGGCTAATATTGATGTCAGTAGCTTGTAAGTACTTGGTAAATAGGTTATTGGTCTCCAGTTTTGGGCATTATCTGTGATTTCATTCTTTGGAATTAAAATCACCTGTCCTGTAGTAAACCACTCTTCTAACTGCTCCCTACCTGCTATGATATTTGTGAACACTAAAGCCATATATTTGTGTGTACTGGTAAGATATTTTACGTAGTAGTTTTGTATTTGATCTATTCCCGGTGTCTTCCAATTGTGTAACTTTCTAATTGCTGTTTTTACATGTTCTTCTGTAAAGTCTTGTGATTCAACTGTACTTATCCTGTTTGCTGAAGCTTCTACTTCTTTTATCCATTTTGCATCTTGATTATATTGTTTAGGATTAGACAATATGGATTTCCAAAAATCTTCTATGCAATCTTTACTGGGTAGTTTTGTATCATTGTCCTCCTCCAGTTTTGTATCACTGACGACCTCCGTAGCCGAGTGGTTCGCACGCCGGTTTCAAGGTGTCGCCATCTCTGTGGTCCCGGGTTCGATTCCCGGTCGGGTCAATGTAGAAAATGAACTTTTCTATATTGACTCGGGTCTGGGTGTTGTGGTACCTTCGTTGTCTTAGATACTCCATAATACGGGGGCTTTAGCTACTCATCTTGGAATCTGAGCAATGTGATGTTGTTAAATATTTATTTTTATTTTTTATTTATTGTTTGTACTATTCCTTCCTAGGCTTCTATATATTCGATGTTTTCGCTAAATAGTCTATTTTGCATTTTTCTATTGCTAATTTCTTCATATCTTTTTATTCTACCAGCTAGTGCTTTAATCTTTTGTTTCGGTATCTCTTCTGTATTAGCGCGTTCATTCTCATTATGTATATTGTATTTGTTAAATAGTTTTGCTTTTATATTAATCATTCTTCGAGAATTTACACCTCTACCTATTTCCACAAGCTGTCCTAACTCCTTTCGAAATTATATTATATTATATATCTCTCTTTTCTGTATTTATATTATAGAAAAGAGAGATATAATACCACAAATTTTTTATCTTGATAAAAATCGAAACTAATACATGAAAATAAAATTATTAGGTCAGATAAGAGAAAAATAGATAATCCTTTAAACACATTTTCTGATAGTGCTGTTTAACTGACACGGCTGGCACCAACCCCAAAAAAATTGTTGGTGTATTCTATTTTGAGAAACATGAAGATTTTGTGGTATTATTTCTTTCCTTTCAGTTTTTTCTCTTTATTGCAGTTTTTGGAAGTCGGATAATTTTTTTTTAAGTTTCTAGTCTGGATTATGTTTTTGTTATATTTGAACTTGGCGCCCTAGGCGAAGTATTGGAATTTGACACCCTATTCAAAGCATTGGAATTTGGCGCCCTAGCAAAAACTTGAACGTGACGGCCTAGGCATAAAAAAACTACAACAAAATAAAATACTAATATAGGTACACCGATTAAGAAGCGTAATTTAACCAATGACAAAAGAATCTTCTTAGGTACTGCTGGTCTGAAAATGTTTTACTTTATAATATCATGGGCATGGGCTCATGTTCAAAGAACTTATCTGCATTTTTGAAGTTCAAATAATTAGAGCGAACATAATCCGGTTGCCATGCCACGCAGGCTCCTAATACGAGCGCCCTAGGCAGTTGCCTATACGGATGGGCCGACTATGATTTAAAAACTGTGCGCTTCAAATATATAATAATATATTTTTGTTACTAAAAGAAACAAAATACGACGAATATATTTTATTATTCTTAAAATTCAATACAATATTACCTATGCATCCACTTACTCATTTACCGTCGTAGCTATTATAGTACCTGCAGTACCTATTATTTAGTTAGTAGTTGTAGTTAAGTAAGTACATAGATACTCCCTCCTTAAAAATATAGCGGCAAACGTAATGCATAAAGCAAATTTTTAGTCATCCTGCTGAACAAAGTTCAATGTCAGGGACGAATAAGATAGCTACTGATATAAAAGGAGATGTCCTGATTTACTGACTGACAGACAGAGCATCTTAAACCGATGCTCGTAGAGACTTAAAAGCTGGGTTCTGAAAAGTCCGATATTTATAATAAATGTCAAAATATCCAATATTTGATATTTATCCGATACATATTGAATATATATCATGCATATGAAAAGCTACGATTTTTAAGCTTTCAGTGACTTTTATTTAATATTTGGTATATAAAAGTGTAAAATTATGTTTGAGTTCGATTTATTTAATATTTGTTAAATAACACAAATTAATGAAAAAAATACTAGCTGTTAGTAATTGGCTTTCATATTCCCGTAATCCCCGAAATCTCGAGTAGTTAGTTATTTTCTAGCTGAAACTTCATTCTCAATAAACCAACTTACAATAAATATCAATTGATATATATCAACGTTTATATTAATCTATATAAATCATGATACATATGATGATATATATCCGTTGATATTTATCAGCGAACCCTGATTGAAAGTATAAAATTGTATTGTTTAGAAGGTCTCAGCGTACAGACAGTGGGAAGCGACTTTGTTTTATACTATAGGATATTCGTACCTAGCTGTAGAGATATGATCTTA